GCAGTCAGAGATGTTGCTAGATGTAAAATCTTACGCCTTGGGCGTATGTGTCGAAGACTTGTATCCATCAAACTGCAATTGCTCTTTTGCAGTAACAACTGACTCAAGCAGGCGTACAAGAGACGGCATTGTATCTTCGAAGGCATACAGTTTACAAGTCTTAGCAGCATTTTTGCGTACAGTACGCGGCAACCAGACACGCGCACTTTCTGCACGAATGCGTGACTTGGATTCACATGGAAATTTCATGTAAATTCATAAGAATTCTCATTTCTTTACCATTGGTAAAGAAATAAAGTACAAACTCGTCGAGACGAAAGAAAAAACTGCGCGCTGAGTTTGTGCGTCTTTAAATGGCGTGTACCGTATATGCATAGCTAGCCGTGTATCGCCCCGAATAGATCAAAACGGAAGTGGCCTTTGCATCTCCGCCCCGCCCCCCAAGTTATGCTATTGATTATGAACTGATGCTTATGGGAAAATATGCAATGGTCAACTACATGTGTTGGTGACAATATGAAGATTGTGAGGAAAATTGTGGGGAATTACTGTTGGTTTCTGTAAAACTTCTACTCGAATTCGTATATAAATTTCTACAGCAAGTGAGGCCAGCGGAGGAAAGTGCACATATATGATCCAACACTGCAGGTTACTTGTCAGATACCTTGGATGGTGATGGTTGATGAATGCTGGTTGGAAGAAGATGTGGAGGGTGTGAACAGACAGTCTCAGGTGAGTAGCAAATTTTGGTTGAAACTTTCGAAAGCAATATAAAAACATATATTTCTACTCCAACACTGTATAGGAAACTCTTCTGAGCTCAGCTGAGGAAAGCGATTACATATATTCCTACTCCAACACTGTATAGCCAACTCCTGAGCTCAGCTGAGGAAAGCAAACATATATTCCTACTCCAACACTGGGTCCGGGATGATGAGCATCTAGTCACCTGTAGGTTATGATTGTTATGGAGATGGTTGACGGCTTTACACTTTCACAGTATCTGCATAAACTGGCTAATCCACGCGGAAGTGAGTACTCGTTTTACGTGGCGTAATGCTCCACGTGCAAAACGCTATATGGAGCGAATTGATAATACTTGACGAATCATAACAACCAAACCACTCCATTTTACATGACCTTCTTTACGCATTATTCACACCTTGCATGCGATTAACGCGAAGTAGAATGTGGAGTATGGTTTCCGCTTGTGTTTTTCATATCCCGGAAAAATATATAAAAAATATATTTAAATATAATATATATTCCAAACATATATTTATATATTATTCTGTGTGTTTGGTAAGATGATATAAGTTAATAAAAATAAACATATACAAATACACGTATTAATCTTTTATCTCTATTAGACACATATATCGGGTGAAACTTCGCTGTTGATAGCATCAGATGAGATTTTTTGGACGTTTTTACGCAGAAAATTCATCGAAAAATCACCTCCGATGGAGCTAGGGAAGAGATATTTAGTATTTGATAGCCGCAGTGGCATGAGAGATACGCAAAGGGGACTTTTTCGCGCACGATTATGTTCTTCTAATAGAGATTATTGCACGCGTGCACAAAGTTTTCTGCTCAGGATTGAGATTAGACAACAGCGATGAAGAGGAAGAGCCTCGGGTGGCAACGAAAATCATTTATCGTTGGTTGAGCCAAATTTTGGTGGCGCTGGTTGTGATGCATAAAAATAGAGTTATTCATCGGGACTTGAAAACTGATAACGTAATCGATTGACCCCGGGTTCGATCCCCGGTGAGTGAGTTTTTATGAAAGATATTAATCACGAGTGACCTGCAAATGGCTAAGGTTTGCGACTTTTCGGTTGCGAGGGTCATCGACGGAAAAGGAGGTTTATTGACGGGATATGTTGGTAAGTGGTTGCGAGGGGAAAATTAGGAAATTTGGGAAATTTTGGAAATTTTAGAAATTTTTCAGAAATTTCGGAAATTCTCAAGATTTTTTTGATAAATTCTCGTTGGTTTCTGTACACTTTTACCCGAATTGGTATGTAAACTTTTAGTAATGGTAGCGTGTATTAGTCCAGCGATGCTACGGCGATGGCGTAGTAGATGTAGATATTGAGGTCCCGGGTTCAAATACCATCGATGGCACTTTTCCGATATTTATTCTCTTAAAAATATTTTTCACCAATTTTTATGCTCACTAGCAGGTACGCCGAATTACGCGGCACCGGAGGT